CTATTCTCTATCTATTTTATCTCTATCTCCTTATTCATGTTTCTTTTCTAACTAATCATAAAATTTATCCCATGTCTTGAAATACATCTACTCCTCTTTATCTTTTATTCTCAGTGTTAATCTATTCATTTCTGCACATTCTAAAATTTTCTTTATAATATCTCCTTCCAACAGAATTTTATCTGCTTTCCAGTTTTGTGCAAATACAATTCTAGCTGCTGTTATTATATGAATAATCAAATATGTATCTTCTCTGCTATAATTCTCTGGTAAAATTCCCAATAATATCTCTGGTTTTAACTCTATATGTTGCTGCAACATTCCCTCTAACCATGTTTGTATTTTCACCCAATATTGTTTTGCTTCTTTAGACAACCACCACATACAGTATGATAGTATGATTCCGGCAACTGATAACATTTCCAACACTTAGCTGATTTATCTTTAAACATCTTAGCTAATCTTTCTGGTGGCATAGATAAATTAAATAGATAAATTGAGTATCCTTTGGGAAGTCAAAATTAATTCCCCTCCATAAAGGAGAAAAATTACAAACTCTGTTAAACATCACCAATTTCAAAACCTTTTATGTTTATCACCAGGTTCTTCCACTTTCTCGATGCAATGACCCTTGTTTCCCTGGATCCTGGAAGAAAGGGATTGAGGGGGATCAGTTCTGCTGCTATGACTGTGTTCCATGCCCAGAAGGGAAGATTTCAAATCAAAATGGTAGGTTAGGCATTCTACCATTTTTCATTGGACATAAGCAAACTTTAATAAACTACTTGGATGCATAAAATCAATAATGTGATTTTCAGTAATATGGAATACCAATAAAGGAGAGTCCTAGACCCGGCATCCAAAAATGCCAGGGAATGTCTAGAAGCCTGGAACTCTGATAAATCAGCCATCAATAGATTTTTTTTTAAAAAAAGTTTTTTATTTTTTAGACAGATGAACGTTTAATAGATCAGTCATTCCTTCCATGTGACATCTTGGTGTTGTCTCCAAAAGTTCTTCTTTTTGTTGTTTCTTCCATCTTCATTCTCGCCCAATCAATTACAACAATTCATCACTAACACAATATTCTAACTGTAACACGTTTATACATAACTATTAATTTACTTATTTATATCTCTTTTCTAACGAATGGTAAAATTGATTCCATATCTTAAGGTATTCTAATTTACAGCATTTTTATACATAACTATTAATTTACTTATTTGTATCTCTTTTCTAACCAATAGTAGAATTTATTCCATATCTTATTCTGAGTCTTCTCTTTCTTTAATTATCAAAGTATACCTATTCATTTGTGCACAATCTAAAAAAATAATAATTACTTCTTCTTCCAAAGGTATTTTCTCTGCTTTCCAATGTTGTGCATAAACAATCCTTGCAGCTGTTATTACATGTATAATCAAGTAAATATTTTCTTTACTAATTTTTTCTGGTAGGATACCCAATATGAACAGCTCTGGTTTTAATTCGATACGTTGTTGTATCATTTCTTCCAGCCATATCTTAATTTTATTCCAATAGTTTTTAGCTTCTGGACATGATTGTCCAGAAGAGCCATCAGTAAACAGCCCAACCAAAGAATCCCTAAAACCCTCACCCATACAGACAGGCAAGACACCAGAATATAAATTGACATCAAACAACACTCTTTACTAGCAAAGATGTTGTTACCTGGTTAGGGTAATGAAATACTTGCAAGAAAACAAGCAAGCTCAGAGAGCACCAACGACCTCTAGGCTTTGGTGAATGCCTAGATGAAAAAATATCCTTGATTTTCTTTCCAGATATGGAAGATTGCTTTGAATGTTCAGAAGATCATTATCCAAATCAAGAAAAGAAAGGATGTATCCTGAAACTGCTGATCTTTCTAACTTTTGAAGAAACTTTAGGAATTCAGCAGCTCTTTGTTTCTTCTTTTTGACATCTTGGGTACTTGGAACTTTTATGAAGCACAGGGATACTCCCATTGTCAAAGCCAACAACCGGTCCGTCACCTACACCCTGCTTGTCGCTCTTCTGCTCTGTTTTCTCTCCTCTTTGCTTTTCCTCAGCCAACCTGGCAAGGTGACCTGCCTTCTCCGACAATCAGCTTTTGGCATCACCTTCTCAGTGGCCATTTCTAGTGTACTGGCCAAAACCATCACCGTGGTTGTTGCCTTCATGGCCACTAAACCAGGATCTCAAATGAGGAGATGGGTGGGGAATAGATTGGCTTTTTGTACTATCTTTTCCTGCTCTCTCTTCCAACTGTGTCTTTGTATTCTTTGGTTGTCAACATCTCCCCCATTCCCTGAGTTGGACATGCACTCAGAGCTCCAAGAAATGATTTTACAGTGCAATGAGGGGTCAGCTGTCTTCTTCTACTGTGTCTTGGGCTACATGGGTATCTTGGCCATCGCCAGCTTTATTGTGGCTTTCCTTGCTCGTAAATTACCCGACAGCTTTAATGAAGCCAAGTTCATCACCTTCAGCATGTTGGCCTTCTGCAGTGTGTGGATCTCCTTCTTTCCAGCCTATCTGAGCACAAAAGGCAAAGCTATGGTAGCTGTGGAGGTCTTCTCCATCTTGGCCTCCAGCGCTGCATTACTGGGATGTATATTTTTGCCAAAATGCTACATCATTATTTTGCGACCTGACCTCAACCACAGAGAACAACTCACAAAGAGAAATTAGTTCATCATGTTATATTTCTGGCTCAGAGAAATTGCCTAAAAAAGAAATAGAAAGAATACTGTCTATAGGAAAAATACTATATATAAAGTTATAGGAAAAGGTTTTTTGTCAAAGAAGTATTTGTGTGTGATATTTATGATTATTAATATTTATTATGATTGCCCATTCCAAAAGACGTGTTCATGTTGCTATGTTGTCTGTTTTCCAAGATTCTTTAACTAAGTTCTTTCTTCTTTTCAAAACATATATTGAATTTGATTTTGGCCATTTAGCTTTCTTGCTCCCTGGTAGGATCTTTCTGATATTGGCTCAATATGATGTCCAATGTTTGCAGAGATATGTTCATCAGTTTTATACCATCTATTCCTAAAGTTTTACTTAAAAACAGTAAAAAGCTGATTACCATTTTATGAACTTATAGTTAAGACAATATCCTAGGATATCAGTTTTGGATTTGTTAGGGTTCTTTCAAATGTAAAATGTGTTGAGTTTGTGAATCTTGTACATTTATCTCAATTTTAAAGAAGGCTGACCATTATTTGAGTAGATTCGTGTGCATGAACTCTAAGCAATAAATCACATAATTTGAACTTTCCTCTGTGGACCTGTTTTTTTTCTACCTGACATTGGAGAAAGGGGGTGGGGCTGCTGCTACTGCCAGAGCGTGTTTGCAGCAGCTCCTCTTGGTTTTATTTAATTTAATCAGTTTTTTGTATACCCACTGGAGCCTTTTTATTTAAATAATATTTTTTGGAGACGATAACAGCATAGACCACAATACAGACAAAGTTTTAGCTGATGAGGACTAATAAGGCACCAGCCCAAAAACACCTTCCCCATCCCACCAGAGGCCCTCTGGAAGCCAGAAATGGCCCGTTTGCTGGCTTCCGGTACCACTGGAATTTGGGAAATGAGCCATTTTTGGCCTGTGGAGGGCCTCTGGGGGAGAATGGCCATTTTCGCCCTCCCCAGTCTCCTAGAAAGCTTCTGGAGCCTGGGGAGAGCAAAAAATGGGCCTTCCCCACCCCCCTAGAGGCCCTCCGGAGGTCGGAAACAACCTGTTTCTCGACTTCTGGTGGGCCTGGAAGGCTCAAAAATCAGTTGGCCAGTGCGCACATGCATACCAGAGCTGAGCTAGGGCAACACCTGCGTGCCCACCGATATGGCTCTGCATGTCACCTGTGGCACGCGTGCCATGGGTTCGCCATCACAGTTCTAGACAATGCAATACAAGTTAGACATAAACGTAAAGCTCCATTGCCTCTTTTCTCCTTTACCCACTCCATCAAATAGGTCTCTCGGGTGAATTCATACATTCATTTGCATTTTAGTTTCTGAAATGTTCAGCAATCATAGTATAGTAAAATCTGATAATGTAAGTGAGGAACAGATGGGAGAGAGAGGGAGAAAGAAAGAAAGGAGGGAAGGAAGGAAGGAAGGAAGGAAGGAAGGAAGGAAGGAAGGAAGAAAGAAAGAAAGAAAGAAAGAAAGAAAGAAAGAAAGAAAGAAAGAAAGAAAGATGGATGAGAACTACGTTCCTCTCTTTGGGAATTGTAAGGATGACCATAGATTTTATTCTGGAATTAAGCCCTCTGCTGGAATTGATCCACAAAGGGATTTGAACCCGTAGTAAGATTTAAGGCTACCTGTCCATTTCCAAATCAAGTAAAGAATGTATTGCCTCTTCATGGCTAAAATAAGTAAAAAAATATCACCCAAGCTATTGTGGAAACAATGGGAAACAAGCGGGATCTGGAAGGAAGCCATGGAAAACTTTTTAAAATGTCAAAATATCTATACATCCTAAGGGAAGGTGGCGTGCAATTATCATTTGTCGTAAAAAAAGAACGTAAGTTTCAAAAATCAAGTGTATTTTGTATAGCAAAGTCCCTTTTGTACATTTTATTAGCAATTGTGCATTGAAACAAGCGTTTAAACACAAGCCACTTATTACCTTATCAGAAACAAAGTAATGATCTCCTACAGGAATCGCCATATTTTCTTCACTGGGCAAAACCATCAAAGACTGCACAGAAGTCTATTTCAATTCAACAACAATCAATGTATCTTGAACCCCAGGGAGACGGGCACAAGGATAATAATAGCTGTGTGTCAGACATTGCTACAGGTTTCCTCCTGTGTTCTCCTCTGTCAGAGTTTCTGTTCAAAACCTGATGCTATTAAGAAATGAATTTGGAGTCGCATGGATCTTCAAGTAGACAATGGGGGATTTTCTGATTAGGTGCACTCTCAGATAGAAACCTAGAATTAATCACTAGGAAATACAAACTTTCCTATAGGATAGGATGAAAGACAAAGGCATTTTAATGAGTTTGCTCCTCCTCCTGATGTTTTTGGTGAAGGAAACAGTGTCTCTGAGCTGCCCTACAACTGATGCTTTCCTTGTTCCACATGAGTGGTACCAGCCTGGAGACTTCATCATTGGTGAGATAGTGTCCCACATCTTATACAACCTTTATGAAATTAATTTTGACGAACATCCTTGTATAACATCTTATAATGTACCAAAGTAAGAATTATTTTTATTTTTTTTTAATCTTAATCAGTTCCTTCCAAACTAATTGTGTGAATAAAAGGTTTTCAGCATAGATTGGATATCTAATCTAAATCTCTTTGTCTTTCAAATGTTTTTAGTTATAGAAGAATAAATTATTTTCTTTACTTTACTTTATGGTAAAGTATTTGTCATATAATGTATGAAACCTTGGTGCAAAATATTTAGTAAGCTGAAGATAATATTTTTTTAAAAAAATCTGTTTTGTCACTCTTAACGAAACATACAGTACATACATACAATAAATGATTGATATATGTTCATATTTTTGTGAAAACTACATTAGAAAATAAATGTGGTTCCATGAAAATAGCACTATTTATATTTTTTGTAGCAGATATTTGTTGCAAATCATGCAAATACTGTAGAAAAAGCAAATCTGAAATTTGTACAGCATTTATTCAGCATTTTAGAAAACCTATTACTTTCCTATTTTCATTGGAGAAAGAAATGTTTGTTATTCATCTAGAAATCAATCAATCAGAATAGAAATGGAAGGGGCCTTGGAGGTCTTCTAGTCCAACCCCCTGCTCAATCAGGAGACCCTATACCATTTCAGACAAGGGGCTGTTCAGTCTTTTCTTAAAAACCTCCAGTGATGAAGCACCCACAATGTCTGAAGCTGGTTAATTGTCCTCACTGTTAGGAAGTTTCTCCTTAACTCCAAGTTGCTTCTCTCCTTGGTTAGTTTCCATCCATGGTTTCATGTATTGTCTTCAGTTGCTTTGGAGAATAAGTTCACCTCTTCTTCTGAAGAACCCTCAAATACATGAGTACTGCTATTGTGTCACCCTATATAGTGATATCAAAGCACTATTTATACTTCTTGTGGCAGATACTTTTTCCAAATCATGCAAATACTGTAGAAAAAACAAATTTGAACTTTGTACAAATTATTCAGCATTTTAGAGAAATAATTACATTCCAACTTTCATCAGAGAAAGAAATATTAGTTATTAATATAGAAATGATGCCACCTTATAAGAATCATCAACTTCTTTTTCTTTTTGCAGTGTAATAACAAAGTTCTACCAGCACATCCTTGCCTTGGTCTTTGCTATAAAGGAGATCAATGAGGACTCCCAGATCTTACCCAATGTCACTCTTGGTTTCAACATCTATGACAGTTACTATAATGCAAGGATGACCTACCGCACTACCCTGGACCTGCTTTTCAAATCCCAGGAATTTATCCCTAACTACAAATGTGATAGCCAGAAGAATCTCATGGCTATCATTGGGGGACTGGATCTTCTCACATCATCTCATATTGCTGCAATTACAGGATTCTTCAAGATTCCACAAGTAAGTATTGAAGGGGTTGAGAAGAAAATTCTAAATCTTATTGTTGTTATGGAATAATTAATGCCCATCAAAAGTTAGGCTTACATTTCTGTTAGGATGTTCTCCATGTTTTAAGGTCTACTACTTAGCATTCTTTTCTGAAACTATAATGTCAGCTACAGGAAGTGACTATCAGGGGTCATTCCATAGATGAGGGAAGATTTGAATGGCTTCTATTAAAACAATTAATCTAGGACATATGTTTGAAATATCATTTTTTAAAAATTGTTTCTATATTCTTAAAAAAGATTAGGGGAAAAATGTTATTGGATATATTTTATATGAAAACTAGACTAGAGAAATTAAATTTGATCAAGACTCAACAGAATATTACTGGACTTTCTTAAAGCTGACATACGGCTCATTAGCCCAGGAGGAATTTCAGACCGGTAAGCTCTCTTCACTTTATTTCATGGTCTCCAAAGAAGACCATCAGTATATTGGGATTGTCCAACTGCTTCATCATTTCAGGTGGACGTGGATTGGGATATTTTCTGTTGATAATAACCATGGAGAAAATTTCTTGAAGAAAATACAACCCTTACTTTCAAAGAATGGAATCTGCTCATCATTTATACAAAGGCTTTCACCAGTGATCAGCTTGGAAGAATTCCAACAAATTGATCAAAGATTGTCAATTACTTCTCTTAATATGTTGAATAGCAAAGCCAATACATTTCTTGTCTGTGGAGAATCCTGGACAATTACACGGCTAACATTTGTAAGATTTCTTTTAGATCCTGAAAGCAAGGAAACTGCATTATTAAGAAAGGTATGGATCATGACTGCACAGATTGATTTTATACTATCAGGCATTCAAATCACATTGGATCTCAACATGTACAGTGGGGCTATTTCCTTCACTGTTCATTCAGCAGCACTTGCAGGGTTCAAGGAGTTTCTTCAGACCATAAATCCTCTTTCAGTCTATAGAAATGCGTTTCTGCAGGACATTTGGGAACAAGCATTTGATTGTTCATTTCCAAAACCAGAGTTACAAGAAATGCAGAGTAGGAAATGCACTGGGGAGATGAAGCTGGAGGATCTTCCTGCACCTGTGTTTGAAATGGAAATGACTGGACAAAGCTACAGCATCTACAATGCTGTTTATGCTGTGGCTCATGCTTTGCAGGCTCTACACATGTTGGGTTTCAATTGGAAGAAAACTATGATGGGTAAAAAATCTGATCTTCCAAATCTGCAGGCGTGGCAGGTATTCCCTTTGAATTGGACTCTACTTTTTTAATGAGCAGTTTGACATAGAATTATCTTTTGAAACCATTGTGGAAAGTCTTTATATTATCTACATATGGAATCAAATTAAGAAAAAATGTAGAAATAAGGAAGAATTTATTGACAGCGAGAACAATTAATTAGTCGAAAAATTGATTTCAGACCTCCTAAGGGCTATATAACTGGAGATGTTTATGAAGAGATTGGAGAGTCATTTGTCTAAATTGTTGTAGGGTCTTCTCCTTGAGCAGGTTGGTGTAATAGAACACCTCCAAGGTCCCTCCCAAATCATTTGTATTATGCTGTATAAAAGAGATACAGAAATAATAATCTTTCAAAACTAATGATATCCAGATGCCACACTATTCATGTATTCAATACTCATGTATATCTAAAAATAAAAAACTTATATGCAAAAATTTCAATTATAAGGTAAAGGTAAAGGTTCCCCTCGCACATAGGTGCTAGTCATTCCTGAGTTTAGAGGGCGGTGCTCATCTCCATTTCAAAGCCGAAGAGCCAGCACTGTCCGAAGATGTCTCCGTGGTCATGTGGCTGGCATGACTAAATGCCAAAGGCACACGGAACGCTGTTACCTTCCCACCAAAGATGGTCCTTATTTTTTTTACTTGCATTTTTTACATGCTTTTGAACTGCTAGGTTGGCAGAAGCTGGGACAAGTAACAGGAGCTCACCCATTATGTGGCACTAGGGATTCGAACCTCTGAACTGCTAACCTTTTGATTGACAAGCTCAGCTTCTTAGCCACTAAGCCACCATGTCTTTGTCAATTATACTGCTATTCTAATTACCCAGGAGCTGCTATTAAAATCACAGTTTAGTTGTTGGTAGGAGGTTAATAATAAATGACCGTAGTCTGCACAATAACAGATAGTTAAAATGATAATTTAAATTTTCATTGTCTATTCCAAAAATAATCAATTCTACAAGAACTTGCTGTGTGGGTCATAAAATTTTCATGAGTGACAAGCAAAGCTTTCTGTCTCTGTCAGAGTTTTAGAGGAATAAAATAAAAGTGGTCCTTTTTACATGTGGTATCCATAGTATCAAACAAACCTATCTTTGCAATAATCTCTTCCTCTCATCTGTGTGTCAAAGAAGGCTTGAGTCTCAGGTTCTAAAATCTGGCGAAAGGAAGTTAGTCAAACCTGAGACTCTCAAACAGCTTTGTACCAATGAGGAAAAAGTATATACGCTCTATCTTGAATTAATTCTTTAAGTAATGGACTTAAAACATAATTGAAGAAAGTTACATAATTCCCAAAGCCTACTTTCATTCTGCTTCAATTCATGCTTACCTTTTCTTAAAATAATATCAAATAAATAATAGACTGGACATGTACATTTCCATGCAATATTAATTATTACATTTTTAAGTATACACATTCAATAATAGTTATTGGAATATGAAGAATTGTTGAATTAAATGATGTTCTCTTTTCTATTATATTGCTATCAATTCCCTCTCCCTTCTATTCTCTTTCAAGTAGCTCCACTCATTTCTTCAAGGCATTTCTTTTAACAATTCAGCTGGGGAGAGAGTGTCCCTGAATGAGAAAGGGGAAGCAACGGGTGGATTTGATATTACCAACTTGATCACTTTTCCTAATAGATCCTTTCAGAGAGTCAAAGTTGGAAAGATAGATCTCCAGGCTCCAAAGGGGAAAGAATTATTCATTGATGAAGATGTGATTGTCTGGCACCCAGCTTTTAACCAGGTATCGAATTATTGAATCAGACATGGTTTAATCCATTATGATCTGATATTGAACAGAATCGCTTTAGAAATCTGAATTTTGTTTCTTTTTTAAATAAACATTGGCACATTCTTTTCAAATGTTGTTGATTATAAAGCACTCATCAAATTGACGAAATAATACTAAAATGTAAAAGCCATGTTGCATATTTTATTTGCATTTCTTTTTTTATAATCAAAAAATTGGCCATGAGTCCATGAGATTGTCACTAGGTCTAATTATTTACTCACCCTGTCCTTCAAACAGGACCTTGTGTATATGATTGAAATTTCTACTTTATAAAAAAGTTTTTGATGAAGTTGATAAATTCAGTATTCTTTTGTGAAGTCAAAAATAATTTCCTTGCATAAAGGAACAAAATATTGCAAACTATTTTAAATATCTCCCTTTTCAAAACCTTTTATGTTTATCACCAGGTTCTTCCACTTTCTAGATGCAATGACCCTTGTTTGCCTGGATCCTGGAAGAAAGGGATTGAGGGGGAACAGTTCTGCTGCTATGACTGTGTTCCATGCCCAGAAGGGAAGATTTCAAATCAAAATGGTAGGTTAGGCATTCTACCATTTCTCATTGGACATAAGCAAACTTTAATAAACTACTTGGATGCATAAAATCAATAATGTGATTTTCAGTAATATGGAATACCAATAAAGGAAAGTCCTAGACCCGGCATCCAAAAATGCCAGGGAATGTCTAGAAGCCTGGAACTCTGACAAATCAGCCATCAATAGATTTTTTTTAAGTTTTTTATTTTTTTAGACAGATGAACATTTAATAGATCAGTCATCCCTTCCATGTGACATCTTGGTGTTCTATGCCCAGAAGGGAAGATTTCAAATCAAAACGGTAGGGTAGGAATTCTACCAAACTTCATTAGACCTAAGCAAACTTTAATATAAAACTTTAGGAGACATAAATTTAATAAAATGAGTTAATAATTTGGAATGCCTAGATGACAAATTCCTTGATTTTCCTTCCAGATATGGACGATTGTTTTGAATGTCCAGAAGATCATTATCCAAATAAAGAAAAGAAAAGATGTATCCTGAAACTGCTGATTTTTCTAACTATTGAAGAAACTTTAGGAATTGGTTTATCCTCAGCAGCTCTTTGTTTCTCCTTCTTGACATCTTGGGTACTTGGAACTTTTATTAAGTATAGGGATACTCCCATTGTCAAAGCCAACAACCAGTCCGTAACCTACACCCTGCTTGTCTCTCTTCTGCTCTGTTTTCTCTCCTCTTTGCTCTTCCTCAGCCAGCCTGGCAAAGTGACCTGCCTTCTCCGACAATCAATGTTTGGCATCACCTTCTCAGTAGCCATTTCTAGTGTATTGGCTAAAACCATCACTGTGGTTGTGGCTTTCATGGCCACTAAACCAGGATCTCAGATGAGGAGATGGATGGGGAAAAGATTGGCTCTTTCTACTGTCCTTTCCTGTTCTCTCTTACAAGTATGTATTTGTATTCTTTGGTTGTCAACATCTCCCCCATTCCCTGAGTTGGACATGCATTCAGAGCTCCAAGAAATGATTTTACAGTGCAATGAGGGATCAGCTTTGTTCTTCTACTGTGTCTTGGGCTACATGGGTGTCTTGGCCATCGCCAGCTTTATTGTAGCTTTTCTTGCCCGCAAATTACCTGACAGCTTCAACGAAGCCAAGTTCATCACTTTCAGCATGTTGGCCTTTTGCAGTGTGTGGATCTCCTTCTTTCCAGCCTATCTGAGCACAAAGGGAAAAGCCATGGTAGCTGTGGAGGTCTTCTCCATCTTGGCCTCCAGTGCTGCATTACTGGGATGCATATTCTTGCCAAAATGCTACATTATTGTTTTGCGGCCTGACCTCAACCACAGAAAGCAACTCATAAAGAGGAATTAGTACCCCATGTGGTCTTTTTGCTCAGAGAAATTGCTGAAAAAAGGAATCGAAAGACTGCTATCTATGGGAAACAGACAGACAGACAGACAGACATAGTTATAGGAACATGGAAGTTTTTGTCTCTGTCAAAGAAAGATTTCTGTAGGATATTTATGATTATTAAGATTTATTAAGATTGTCCATTCTAAAATTTTTGCTGTTTCTGCTGTATTTTCAGCATTTTCCAAGAATCTTTAACCAACTCTTCTCTCCCTTTCAATACATCCATTAAATTTGATTTCTTGTTCCCTGTTAGGATCTTTCAGATTTTGGCTCAAATGATGTCCAATATTTGCAGAGACATGTTCATCATTTTTATACTATTCATTCCTAAAGCGTTACATAAATAAAGTAAAAATCTGATTATGAACGTATAGTTAACACAGTGTCATAGGATGTCAGTACTGGATTTTTTAGGGTTCTTTCAAATGCAAAATGTGGTGAGTTTGTGAATCTTGTACATTTATCTCCATTTTAGAAAAGGCTGACCATTATTTTAGCAGATTCCTCTGTATGGACTTTAAGCAATAAATCAGATTAGTTGAACTTGATTATGTGTGGAACTGTTTTTTTTCCATCTGACATTGATTTTCACTCCAAAAATTTTTCCCAAGGAACTACGGAAACAACCAGCATCGCATCTGACCTACAAGCAGAAGCAGTGTCTGACTACAGAACAGTGGACACTCTTCTGCACTGTGTGTCCAATTTGTGCAACTTTGCAGCACTCCAACTATAGAACAAATGCAGAATTTGGTGCAACTTGCACCATTTGCTCCTCTGACACCAGCAGCAGCCTCAGTACTACAATCCATGTTGCAAAGGAGTTACGGAAGCTTACCAGAAAGTTTCAGAGGAGAATGAGAATGGATGAGAACCTTCAAAGCACAAGGAAAGCTGTTTGTGGGAACCTGAGCAGTGGAATTCCCAATCCACCAGTCATTAGTCTCCTTCATTCTGAGTCTATTGATGGCTTCAGCAGCTCATTCAGCACTTATATCATTTAGGTAATGCCTCAGTTATGGATTACTATCACACGTTTATAGACACCTTCAGGGGCCACTTCAGAAATCCGATATGGAGATTATAATAACCCGCACAATCCATTATCTTGAGCAATGTAATAGAAGGGTCAGACTGTATGTAGCAAATACACAGCATACCTAGAGCAGAATAAAGCAAGTGTAATTGCTTTTTTTAGATAGGCACTGAATAACTAAATTGGCATTGAAATCATAAGGCAAGAACATCAACTGATACTGGACCAAATCTACTACTTTTGTATTATCATAGACTCATGCTTGGAAGTGATTCAAAGCCAATTGGGATGTCAGAGACAGCTGATATCACAGCTTACCTATTCAGCCTTCGTTCCCTTATTACTGAAAAGGTTTCACCCATGGTGAGAGAATAGAATAGAAGCCACAAAGAGATGAGTGGCTGCTGAAGAAAGACAGAGGTGCAGAGACCTGGCATTCTGCTTCTACTGTGGAGAGTCTGGGCATGTATTGAGAATGTGCCCAACCAGAGCCTCCAGAAGAGGAGAAAGACCTCTCAGCCAGAGCATGGGAGAGCACTGTGCTGAACACAGAAGCCAAGACCAGGGAAAACAGAACCGCTCTTCTCACAAGAGCTCACAAAAAGGACTATTCAAAAATTAAAGAGAGAGCAACAGCATCTAAATGAATATGCTTTGCTGAAAATTCATATTGACTTGACCTTCTCAGACAATATAGAAATAATGGACTGCAGTGTCAGTGGATTCTGGGGCAACAACTGACTTTATAGACTTCATGATGGTTAAAATTTTATAAATCCCTACAGTTCTTCTAGACACTCCAATAGAAGTAGAAACAATACATCACAAAATTTTAAAATTGGCCCAATTATGTGGCCTCTGCTGCAAATAGCAGTAGCCCATATTACAGAACTGTTAACCCTGCATGTCACTAGCCACCTTCCCTTTCGGATCATCTTGGGATCAGAGTGCCTGGAAATTCAAATCCCATTATAAATTGGAGGCTGGAACTCTGTCTTTTACAACTCCAACTTACCAACTTCTCCAAGTACAAACAGCAGAAGATCCATTCCAGTAACTGGCAGAAGACCCCAAAGGGGGAAGAACCAAGTTTCCAGTCAAATACACAGATTTTCCAGATGTTTTTGGGGAGAAGAAGAAGCAATCCTTCCCCCACATAGAGTCCACAACTGTACTATAGACCCAGTCCTGGTGGGTGAAGCTAAAATAATAGATATAGTACCCCATGTCAGTTAAGAGATGCCCCAATGCTTATTTACCTGGATCAAGCACAGGAAATCCTCACCCTGTTTTAGGGACAACTGAGGGATGACCTCCAAGGAACACCCACAGACAATGTATCCTCAGTTACATTTGAGTAGGGCTATTGAAGCAAAGGACAGAATAGTGGTAACCCCATCTTTGAGAGTGGAAGTTTATTAGCTTTACCATGATGACTAAAGAGCAAGGCATGAGAAATGCTTGCTGGAGTTTGGTATGACTAGTTTAATGAAAAGAAGGACTAGGGGTGACATGATAGCAATGTCCCAATACAAAAGGGGTTGCCATAAAGAAGAGGGGTCAACCTGTTCTCCAAAGCATGTGAAGCAGTGGTGAAATCCAATTTTTTTTTACTACCAGTTCTGTGGGCGTGGCTTGGTGGGTATGGTGTGGCTTGGTGGGTATAGTGTGGCTTGTTGGGCATGGCAGGGGAAGTATACTGCAAAATCTCCATTTCCACCCCACTCCAAGGGAAGGATACTACAAAATCCCCATTCCCACCCCACTCTGTGACCAGCCAGAGGTGGTATTTGCCGGTTGTCTGAACTACTCAAAATTTCCGCTACCAATTCTCTGAACTACTCAAAATTTCTGCTACCGGTTCTCCAGAACCTGTCAGAACCTGCTGGATTTTACCCCTGATCTGAAGGCAGGACAAGAAGAAATGGATGGAAACTAATCAAGGCATGGACCAAGCTAGAACTAAGGAGAAATTTCCTGACAGTTAGAACAATTAATCAGTGGAATGACTTACTTCCAGAAATTGTGTGTGCTCCAACACTGGAAGTTTTTAAGAAGAAACTGGACAACCATTTGTCTGAAATGGTATAGGGCTTCCTGCCTGAGCAAGGGGTTGGACTAGAAGACCTCCCAGGTCCCTTCCTAATCTGTTATTCTGTAGAAATAATAATGGTGAAAAATACTGTAAAAATTAAAGTAAAATAAAAAAAATAAAGTAAAATAAAAATAAAGGTAAGTAGAATAAATCTGATGTGGCAAGTGAGAAGGATTAGAAGATGAAACATGCGTGATGGCATTGTGATATAAATTGAATCCAATTTGTAACTGCATATTGAGCTGCACAAAAGGATGTCATTTCCATGCCATCAAGAGTAGGTTTACTGAGGCTTCCGGTTGGCACCGCCTGGCGTCGCAGACGGTCTTTTTGGACCGCCAGCCCCGCGATTCCGTTTGAGCCGTTCTGACAGCACTAATCAGCTGTCAGATGGCTTAAAAACCTCTCCTTCAGGAGAAGAAGGAGAGGAGAGCCGGTGGGCGAGGGTAGAGCTCCCCGGGAGCCCCTGGAGTAATTCCAGGGGCTTGGAGGGTGAGAGCTCCCCGTTCAGCCCACTGAAGCTCCGGATCCATGGCAACTCCGTTTAAACGGAGCCAGATGCCGGCGACCGACTCTGCTGCCAAGAAGAAGATCAACTGATTTCAAAAAGCAGACAGAACGGAAGCAGGAGAACAAGCTTTTGCAAGTATATGCTTAACTCCTGGGATAAATTGTTTCTATTTGATTTTGCTGAGCTAGAGCTGGAAATGGCGTCTTTGTTGTGGGTGTGAAAGTGAAAGTAGGAAATGAAAGTGCTTGTTAATAGACTTGTGCCCAGAGACTGGATTTAAACTGCTGGATTTGAGAGCTGGGTCCAGAAAAGACTATCTTGCTTGATAAACTACAAATAAATCTGAGAAAGCTGTTTGAGAGACTTTATGGCTCTGAAAAGAAAAATTCTTTTAAAATAATATGGCTTCCAAGGAAGGAGTTTCTGAAAGTGGAGGCTCTTTAATGGCGTCAGAAATGACACAGAGAACTGAAACACAGAGCCAGGAGGCCTTTTTTAGAGACCTTGCAGAATTTATAAAGGAAGCCATGAATAACCAAATTGAAATTATTAATAACTTTACAGCAATCATGGAACAAAAATTTACAGAACTGTTGGAGGATAAAAAAGCAACTGAGGATGTTTTTGAAGGAAAGCATAATGACAATGTAGGAGACATTTTGATTAAGACAGAGAAGCTGGAACTGGCTGATCCTCAAGAATCTTCAAACCTTAGGCTTCCGGGTTGGCTCCGCAGCACCATTGACGGTCTTTTTAGACCGCCGCCCCCGCGATCCCGTTGAGCCGTTCTGACAGCGTTAATCAGCTGTCAAACGGCTTGAAAATCTCCCCTTCGGGAAAAGAAGGGGAGGAGAGCAGGTGGGTGAGGGTAGAGCTCCCCGGAAACCCCTGGATTAACTCCAGGGGTTAGGAGGGTGAGAGCTCCCCGTTCAGCCCACTGAAGCTCCGGATCCGGGGGGACTCTGTTTTTTACAGAGCTAGGTGTTGCGTCCAATTTCTGCTGTCAAACAGAAGATTAAATGATTTCAAAAAGCAGGCGGAACAGAAGCAGGAGGACAAGCTTTTTGCAAGTATAATACTTAACTCCGGGGATACAATGTTTCTAATTGAACTTACTGAGCTGGAAGTAAAGATGGCGTTTCTTTGTTGCGATTTTAAAAGTGAAACTTAGAAAGGAAAGTCTTCGTTGAGTGCTCAGAGACTGGCTTTAAGTTGCTGGAATAGATTTTGAAGAGCTGTTTAGGAAAAGACTATTTCGTTTGGTGATTTATAAAGAAATTGCTGAAAGCTGCTTAAAAGGATGGCTCTGACTTTAT